TCCTAAGTAATTGTCTTGTTTTCTTTGCACTTGCTCTTGTTTATAAAGCTGTGCAGATTAAGCAATCTTGAAGGGTAATAATTTAAGCAAGTTTTTAGAAAATCTTAAAATAAGATCTCTTAACCCCATGTTTAGTAGTTACTAAAACATTTTAAGTGACATGGATATTAAAATATTTTATGCCTTATATAAACTGTGTTAACATTTACCAACAATATTAGTAACAATTCAAATAAGAAAAGTCATGCTAGAATTTAAATGATAGATAGCTTTTTGACTGAGGGAATGAATTTGCTAAATTTAAATTCTTGGCTTTTAGGCTTTTAACTGATTCTTGAGAATTATATCTACTGGGTAGTTACAAATAATTTATAGTGCAGGTTTTAATCAGTGTAATGATTCATCACATATAAATTATTATATGCATGAGTTTAACAAGAAAGATACTGTGCCTAAGTCATGTAAATGTTTTATTGTGGTAGTATTTTAACTTAAAAAAAAAAAGAGGAAGAAAATCACAAATACTTTAATGAAAAGAAAGTTTCAGTTTTTAATTATTTTTTTACTCTTTGATGTTTTCGATCTCTCAGGGCTCTTGATCTTTTGGTGCTTTAACTTGAATATCCTTCTAATTCCTCTGTCTAGCTAGCTGTACAGTCTCCTTTTCCAACAGGGAGAAGTAATGGAAAAGAATAAAGAATCTTAATTTTCAGCAAATCTCATACTATGTAGAATAGAAAGATATAAATTAAAGGGGAATTATGTCACTTCCCTTCCTTGTACTTTTTAGAGCTTTAATATTCTTAGTTTTAATTGTTAAAAGAACGGGGAGTATGTATGTGGACTCTGTTGTTTTCGTCAGTGCTTACTTTTACTGATTTGGGTAATTTATGTGAAGGGTAGCAAAGAGAATTAGCAGCTATACCTTGGTGGTATTATCATGAATGAAATCTGGTCTTCAGCCTTGCATATTTAAAAACTTACTTTAATCTCTTTTTCTTGGAGAGCTGAACAGATAAGAGATACACAGCTAAATTGATAAGGACAGTTTTAAATTTTAAGTTGAAAACAAAAGCAGGCTAAACAGATCAAAACATTTTGGATACTTTAGAAGCACAGTAATCGCTTTTACTTTACTGGCTCTGATTTATAGACATTTATGTAGACCATTCTGCATTGTGAACATTCTTTCTAGACTATTCATTGGATAGAATTATAGTTCAAGTTAGGCTCATTTTGATCTCTTTGTTGAGATTTTGGAGCTTTCATAAACTTATAAGTTGTCCCAAAACCTTCAGCAATGCTTTTATCCTGTTTAGAGGATGATGTTTACTGTAATGTTGTTTCCAAATGTGGGGGCTACCACTTTTGGGAGGAGTGTATATCTCTTGTAATCATTTATATCTTCTTGTATACTGACCCTGTATAAATTCTAATGATTAATTTTTGGTTGATGAGTTACAGCTATATATGTTTAGATAAACTTTAAAAGTCTGTGTTTGATTCTTCAGTCTTCCCGATAAGAGTAGATTGAGGAGAGATTAGGATGTGGGGACAAATGTAGACAGCTTTTTGAAAAATGTTGCTTTCAGTAAAAGTGAAAGATGAGATGGTATTTGGAGGAAGAGGTATTTTTGTTTTTTGAAGATGGAAAACATTACATATTCATTTGTTGATGAGATTAATCCAAGATAGAATGAGACATCAGTGATGTATGGGAGAGGGTATAATTATAAAAGTGAAACCTTGAGTAGTCAACAAAAAGCATGGGATCAGAGTGTAACTGAGGAATTAAATGGAGTGGAATCACTGTATCCACTGCAAAAAGAAGGAAGGCAGAGCAAGTGGGTACAGATGTAAAAACTGGGTGAGTGTGACTGCAGGTGTCTAATTGCATCAGTTTTCTTGACGTGGCAGGATCATGAACTTGAGATGGCCGAGGAGGGGATTGTCAGAAATTTGGAGAGAGAGAAAAAGGTATTCAGCAGCCATTTAGGACAGGGAAGGAACTCAAACGTCAGTGAAGTGTATGATTAGGGTAATGTTGAGTTTCCATGAGACCAGTCAATACTATACTTTAATATACTTTATTCTAACACTGTTGAGAGTGTTATTCCCATTTTATCTCATTTTTCTTTGTAGTTCTTTGATTATTAGTGAGTTTGAGCATCTTTTCATGTTTATTGATCTTATTTATTTCCTCCAGTAAATTGTTCCATTTTACCTCTTGCTTAACAGGAATTCTTAGTATATTGTGGATACTAATCTTTTGTCTTTTGCAAATATTTTCTCGGTTCATAATTAATGGATGTCATTGTAATACGTAAGTTTCAAATTTTGTTGTAAGTTAATCCATCTTTATAAGATTTTTTTGTTTAAGATGTATCCCTAGATCAAAAAGATATTCTTTGTTTTCTCCTAAAAATTTAAAATTTTGTTTTGATTTCAAGTCTTTAACCAGGATTTTATTTTTGTTTTGGTGTTTAGTGTGAGGAATTATTTTTTTCCCATTGGATAGATAGTTAATATAATACTATATGTATATTGGTTCATCACTTTAAATTATCACTTTTATCTTGAATTATCAATTTAAATGATCACTTTTATCTTAAATGTCCATATTTGCATAAGTCTGTTTCTTAGACATTCTTTCTTTCTATACAGTTGGTCTCTTTATTCCACAGTCATAACCTGTCCATAGTAATGGCTTTTTCAACTAATTTCTGGAAATTTTTCTTTCCATTCCATTTAAATTCCTTAATCATTAAACTATTTCTTCACATTCTAAGTGAAGATGCTTATTGTACTTGATAGTAACCAGTATTGAACCAAAAAAATTCTAACCCTTTATTCATCTTTATAATTCTGTTTTCAACCATGTTGATGTTCCTGTTATGTTATGGAACCCCACAATGATTAAAGTAGGTATTCAGGGAACAATTGGAGTCCAACTCTTAAAAAGAGATGAAGAACAGCATTTTTGTTTAAACCAGACCTCTTGAATTTTATTCTAATTCATAGTTTATAAAACTGCTTCAGAATTCTGTGTTTACTTATTCCCACCCTTTATTCATTTTCTCCCCCGATTCTTTTCCTTCTCCAGTTTTTTCTTTTTAACCATCTCTTTTTTCATAAGGGTAGTAGAAGACAAAAGTAAGAAGCAAAAAAGAAAGAAAGGAATCATTCATGTCCTTATTTTCTGTATTTCAGCCTTCCATTGGTCATAGGCCTTCCACATACTTCCCCTTATTACATTGTGTATATGTATATGTGTATGTGTATGTGTATGTGTATGTGTATGTGTATGTGTATGTATAGTTGAGTTTGACCAGAATACCCTTGTTTACTTGTTCATTACCTTTCTTTCAGGGCAAGCTTTACCTCCTCGTTGATTACATTTAGACAGGCCACCACCTATCATATTAATTGTATGCCCCTTTATTAAGGCATTGATCACATTGTATGTATTTGTTTGAGCACAGACTGTATCAAAATTAACTTTGTATCACTAGTGGCTGGCACATAATAGGCCCTGGTAGATTTAAGGAATGGATTTTTTTTAGCAGTGGATGGCAACATGGGTATATGATTTATAAAATAGTAAGCTTGTAGCAAAATTTTGTATTTCTAAAGCTGCTGATGTTGTGGGGATGCATTTTAGAAACAAAATAATGATACGGTTTCTGAGGCCTGGTTAAAAAAGGGTTGTGAGGTTTTCAGTTTCCCCATTTTTCTCCCCTTGTCCAACTCTGCCGTTTAATTAATCCCATGTTTGAAGTTGAAAGGGAAAACTCAGATTTGATCTCGGGACTTATTAGCCTTTTCTTCCATTGGGCTAATTCAGACCCATGGAGATAGCTTTTTGCTAAGATTCTGAAATGGGGAGGAAATGAGCCGTCAAGCCTATCTGGTTCTTCTCGTGAGTCACATCCCTGGACTCTTGGGAGCTGATTAAATATAATTCTGTCGACTGTGGTTGATGCCAGGTGTTTTCTTGGCTTTGTGTGGGAGAGTTGTTTCAATAAGTTCCCATGTGACTGAGTCAAATGAGGAGTGATATAGCCAACACTGTATGGAGCTCACATTTGTGAACCACTGTCTAGGACCATTATGGAAGGTAGTTTGGGGCTATTTCTCCATACCTATAATGATAAGAGAGAGTCACACAATTCATCCCCTTTGACCGTCCCCATATTTTTGGAGTTGGGTATATGCATGCCTAATCTAGTAAAAGTCTGCCATCATCTATCAAAGATGAGATAGACTACCTATATATTTTTCAAGAGTGATGAGTGCTACAGGGACTCAGGAATAACCCATTTTGTCATCTTAAAATACCCCTGGGGACAAAGGAGGGTGGCTGTAGAAGTACCTGAGTCAGAGCCTGGTCCCAAGTTTACATCTGTCCAAATGTCCTTAATCTGAGCATTGTGAACCTTCCATTCATCTGTTGCATCAGAGATCTTTGTCTTTATTTTGGAGGGATGCTAAATTCCAAAATACTTAAGTTACTAAAAATTTGATCACCACTGATGACCTCTAAATGATACTCGTTCTGTTTTGGTGACCATTTCTTTATATCATTTTCTGTTCTGCTAAATTTCTTGCTATGCTGACAGCATATTCTGTTTTTTCTTTCTTTGCTAGGAGCTATCTTTTCAGAATCATTTTGATATATTGATATATCCACTTCTATTATTAAAATTAAAAGTTAAGTGAATATATATGACTAAATTCTATTCATATATTCTGATTTACACATAGTAATTGAAACTTTAAAAATCCAGGGTAGCATATTGTACTTGTGTTTACTACAATAGCAAATTAAGCTATTGCCTTCAGTACAATATGTAATTTTTCTAAAATTGTTTATTATTTACCAAGAATATGGGTCAAAGTCTTTCAGGAAGCAAGAGAAATGTGTACATTCAACATATTAAACTTAAATAAACTTGATTCATTTTTATACTAATGAAAATGCTTTAAAATTTGTTTTCTAGGCCAACCGTATCCTGATCTAACTCTTCCTCCACAAAGGCAAGACAGATTTTACTCTAATTCTGGTAGACTATCTGGACCAGCAGAACTCAGAAGTTTTAATATGCCGTCAGTGGATAAAGTGGGTAAGAAATACTTTGTGTGTGTGTGTCTGAGTTTTTTTATAATGATGGCAAACTAAAGAATTAAAAGCTAAATAAAGGACTAATATAACTGCTATTTCTGGTAGCTCTTAAAGCCAAAACTTTTGTCCTGAAAACTTCCTGGTTTTATGTTTCTTGTTATATTATACACATTCATGGCATCTGCATATACGTTGGCGATTGGTTTGGGCACCATGGTTATGGGTTTACTGTATGTACCTATGATGGAAAATTTTTACAGTGTTCCATGATTAATTTCCTAATTTTTCCAGTCCACTTAACATATATCCTGTTTAGCAATCAGGGAAATTAGGCTAATGTGAAAATCCACCAGAAAAATAATTTGGGTACATGCTGGTTTAATCAGTTATCTAAACATTTCATACTTAGATAGATTTAACTGACAGTTACTCATGAACCTGCTGGAGATCTGTCAGCCTGGTGTGGTGCCAGTCTGCCTGGCTCTGTGTTTCCTTTTACCCCCAGAAGAGCTAGTGGCTCAGGTATAGGCCGAGTGGAAGCAGGGAGCTAGGGAAGTGACTGCCTTTGCAGAACCTTGGGTCTGCCAGAATCCCAGGGACCTCATGCTGTGCTTGGGGCTCTAGCACAGGGTGCTGGTGTCAAGGTGGTTTATGTGCTGCCAAGGGGAGTTGGGGGTATCCATGTCCTTGGTGACTGCAGCCATTCTAGGAATGGAGTAATAAGTCATGATTTAACTTTTATGTCTAGATGGGCCAATGTCTTCAGAAATGGAATCCAGTAAAAATGATAGCAGAGACGATCTTGGTGTAAGTATTGAAAGTGGAATTTTATCCATTCTTCAGAAGCCATCTAATCTTTTGATTTACTAGAATAGAAATTTAACTGGCAATCTAGTTTTTGATATACAGCTGTTTCTTTTATTTTGACAAACATACTTCCTACTTAGCATTATAGCTGCTTCTTTTTTGGATTGTATCCTACGGTGGTACAAGTATAATTTACAGACTATAACCTAGCTATAGATGAGAGGCTTGAGTTAGTTGACCATAGTTACACAAGAATTTAGATTTTCCCCGTTCGATTTTTATTTGAATATTTTAAAATATATTTTTGTTACTGTGTTTACAAGTTTGGTTTTGGTCACCTTGTTTTATGTTGTAAATAGAAACGAGCATTTTTTTTTTTCAGTATAAGCTTGATAAAAGAATGTATTATATATTTTGGTACTCTCGGATTACTCTTGTGTTATATCTTTAGCCAGAATATTGCTTTGTTCGTTAAAACTGTTTTCTGCTGATGTTATTTGTGATGACAAAAATCCATCTGATGCCGAAAACTGTTTGAATCTTTCTCTGGAGCCTCTTAAAACTGTCAGAGGCTCTTTCTGCCTAGGTGCTGAGGTGCTTTCTTCTAAGCCTAAGATTTTCAGGAAGATGATTACAAATTTTGCTCTTGTTTTAGTGACTGCCATATGTCAATTTGTTACAGAATTTAAACATGCCTGATTCATCTCCCCCCATCGAAAGTGAAGCAACTGGCCCTAGCTGTGTTCCTCCACCTTTTCCTCCAATCAGAGGTCCCTTGTTTCCAATGGATCCAAGGGGCCCATACATGAGAAGAGGTCCTCCTTTCCCTCCACCTCCTCCAGGAAGCATGTATGGAGCTCCCCGAGATTATTTTCCTCCAAGGGACTTTCCTGGCCCACCACCTCCTCCATTTGCAAGTATGCTTGTTTTTTTCTTCAAAATTTAATTATGTGTTTTATAGAGTAAATCAGAGATATGAATTCTACTTTCTATTCATATAGTAATGCAGTAGAGGAAAATTTTTCTCACATTTCATAAGTGTACCATTACTTTCCCAAATTGGGAAGGCAGCCAGCCATCAGTAGACTGTAATGAGGCTTCAACTGATTCATCTCCAGAATGTGGAATTTTTTCTGTATTCCACTTGTCAAGAAAATCATTGGCTTTTTGCAGCAATCTTATGTTAAGACTGAAATTATTTGTATCTTATTTGATAGAAACTGGGTACTATGTCAATTAAAGTAAAAATAATTACTATTTATAGTTTACAATTAAAATTTCTGGCCAAAGTATTTCTAAAAAATTTTTTTCTTAAGTACTGCTCATGCAGTCCTACTGATTTAAAACCTAAAATGTGTTTATCATGTTTGGACTAATTGTTGAATTTGTTGAAATCCCTTTATAGCCTCACATCAGAAAAGTGGAATAGTTTATTGCTTTTATATCTGTACCTTGCCATTTAGAACTGTAGGTTTCTGCAGAATAAATACATGGTTACCAAGCACTAGGCAGAAGCCTATTATTTACCTGATGTGGTGTTCCTCCCCTTATTCCTCCTCCATTTTAAAGTTTAAGGTGAATTAAAATGTATTTTGTTGGGGGAATTTTAAGATGGTGTTTGATATAATTGAAAATGTTTTAGGATAATATTAAATTAGGACTGGGAATTACTGGTCTGAATTTTAAGTCTGCTGAAAATGATATTATAGGAAAACCTTTTTTTTTAAGTAAGTTTATATAGTTTGAAATAATTCTTTTAAAAGGTGTTAAGATGTTAGATTTTCATTGGACAAAAACTGTGTCTAAATGAATGATATTCCCTTTAATCATGTGTTAGTTGGAGAGAGTATGTTTTTCTCAATGTTGTAAAAATTCATTTGTTAGATTGATTAATTATTCTGGTGTCAGTATGTGAATATGAAGATAGGTACTGGAAGTTATAAGCTAATGATTTATTAGGACTGCAGTACAGGTGCTTCAAGTTAAAAAATGTCTTTTATCAATCTCTTTGAACAGTGAGAAATGTCTATTCACCAAGAGGTTTTCCTTATTATCTTCCCCCACGAGCTGAATTTTTCCCCCCACCCCCACATCCTGAAAGTAGAAGTGAGCTCCCATCGGGGTTGATTCCGCCTTCAAACGAGCCTACTACTGAACATCCAGAACCACAACAAGAAACTTGACAATATTTTTGGTGTCTCTTCAAAAGTAATTTTAACATCTCTCTCATTTTCAGTTTAAGTAACTGTTGTTACTTAAGTGATTATACTTTTGCTCAAATTGAAGCTTAATGGAAATACAATTCTCAGGATAGTATTTTGTAAATAAAGATGATTTAAATATGAATCTTATGAGTAAATTATTTCCATTTTATTTTATTCTAGATAGTATAATTATTTTAATTTGATTAACAAATCCACTATCACATAAACAATAATGGGAGTTTTCTATATGTAATCTTGCAGTCGGGGATGTTTTAAACTCCAAAGGCTGTGTCTTTATGCCAAGAACTGTATTTACTATGGTTGTAGACAAATGTGAAAGTAACTTTATGCTTAATTAAATAAATTTTAATTGATTTAAAGACTTGTTTGGCATTGATAATAATAATAATAAAATCAGGTAGTTTTTTCATAAATGACTCCATTAGTTAGTTTTTTTTTTTTTTTTACTTCTCTCAATAGCTTTGAGTCTCACAACTAATGCTTCATATGGGTCTTTCCCATTCAGTTGTCTTACCAAAAACGTGCCGTATTTCTTGCAAATAGAAATGAATGACCCAACACAACAAATTAATATACTTTTAAAAACCAAAATTGATTATATTTTAAAGAAAACCAGGATATTGTCTAAGGGTAAGTTTCAGAATTTTCATCTTCTTAGTTCATTCACTGGTTTCCTGTACAATTTTATTTCTTAGGTTTCTCTTCATTTGTAAGATATTTACCGTTTTCAGTGGGGGAATGTTGAGATTTGCTGTAGGATAACTATATTGAGGCAGTGTGTCATCATTTTGAGCTTCGGATTCAATGTCTTTAGAATGTTCCCCTAACTCAGGTTTGTATTCTATTAGTCTTCTTACAGATTATGAAAGACTAATAAATATTACAATACTTGGGTTGAGAGGATGGTTGTTTGTTGTTGTTTACTTGGATATTTTTCTTTAGTGCCACAAGACAGAAGATTAAATTTTTTTTAAAATTTTTTTATTCTTTATTCATGAATTCATTTTTTAAAGATTTTTATTAAAAAGTATAGTTAACATACAACATTATATCAGTTTTGGGTGTACACCATAGTTGTTCAACATTTATATACCTAAAGAAATGATCACTATAAGTCCAGCAACCATCTGACACCATATCACATTATCACAATATTGACTATATTCCCTGTACATTACATCCCCATGACTTATTTGATTTATACCAAAATTTGAACCTCTTATTCCCCTTTACCATTTTCCCCACTTTTTAAATATTTCAATTAATGTTAACATTCAGTATTATTTTGTGTTAATTTCAGGTGTACAGCATAGTGGTTAGACATTTCTATAATTTAGTGATCCCTCTGACAATTCTAGTACTCACCTGGCATTATACATAGTTATTAACATATTATTGTCTATATTTCCTATGTTTTACTTTACATCCTATTGACTATTTTATAACTGCCAATTTGTACTTTTTAATCCCTTTACCTTTTTCACTGTCCCCCAACCCCCATCCCATCTATCACCCCAATAAGTCTAGTACCCATCTGACACCATTATAATTATTACAATATTATTGACTATGTTCCTTGTGCTATACCCTACATCCTCATGACTACTGTGTAACAACCAATTTGTACTTAATCCCTTCCACTTTTTCACTTGCCCCCAATCCCCCTACCATCTGGCAACCACGAATGAGTTTGTTTCTGTTTTGTTTGTTTGTTTATTTGGTTCTTTAGATTCCACATATAAGTGAAATCACATTTCATCTGCCTTCCTCTGTCTGACATACTGCACTCGGTACAATATCCTCCAGGTCCATCCACGCCGCCGTAGATGGCAAGAAACCGTTCCTTACCGTGGCTGAGCAATATTAGTCCACTGTGTATACATACATATATATATATATATATATATATATATATATATATATATATATATATATGCCACCTACTCTTTATCCACTCATCCATTGACAGACACCCAGGCTGCCTCCACATCTTGGCCATTATAAACAATGCTGCAGTGAACATACGGTTACACACCCCCTCAAAGTAGCATTTTGGGTTTCTTCAGATAAATACCCAGAATTGAGATTACTGGGTCCTTCTTTGTCTCTTGTTATAGCATTTGTTTTATTTTTTTTTATTTTTTTTATTTTTATTTTTTAGCTGAGCCATCCTGCTACCTGTTGGCAGCTCAGCGGCTGCTCAGCTCGGGCTGGACTCGAACCGCTGTTGCTCAGAGCTCAAACTCTTGAGTGAGCTCTTAACCAACTGAGCCATTCAGCCGGCCCTATAGCATTTGTTTTAAAGTCTTATTTTGTCTTATATAAGTATTGCTGCCCCAGTTTTTTTTCTTGTTTTTTTTTTCTATTTCCATTTTCATGAAATAACTTTTTCCATCCCTTCACTTTTAATCTGTGTGTGTTTTTCAGTCTTAAGTGAGTCTCTTGTAGGAAGCATATGTAAGGGTTTTGTTTTTTTATCCATTCAGCAATCCAGTGTTTTTTATTGGAGCATTTAATTCATTTACGTTGAAAATAATTATTGACAGGTATGTAGTTATTGCCATTTTTATTCATAGTTTTGATCCCCCCCATTGTTTCCCCCCCCCCCGCCTTAAAGGAGTCCCTGTAACATTCCTTATAATACTGGTTTGGTGTTGATAAACTCCTTTATCTTTTTCTTGCTTGGGAAGCTCTTTATCTGTCCTTTGATTTTCAATGATAGCTTTGCTGGGCTGAGTAGTCTTGGTTGTAGATTCTTGCTTTTCATCATTTTGAATATTTTGTGCCTATCCCTTCTGGCCTGCAAAATTTCTGTGGAGAAATGAGCTGACAATCTTAAGGGAGCTCCCTTATAAGTTACTGGTTGCCTTTCTCTTGATGCTTTAGTATTCTCTCTTTGTCTTTAACCTTTACCGTTCTAATTATAATATGTCTTGGTGTGGGCCTGTTTGGGTTCATCTTGTTTGGGACTCTGTTTATTTCTTTCCTCAGGTTAGGTAAGTTATCAGTCATTATTTCTTCAAATAGGTTCTCAATGTCTTGCTTTCTCTCTTCTGGCACCCCTACGATGTGAATGTTGTTACACTTGATGTTGTCCTAGAGGTCTCTTAATTAAATTAACTCTCTTTTTTTTTTTTTTAAATTATTTTTTCTTTTTGCTGTTCTGATTGGGTGTTTTCTGTTACCCTGTATTCCAAATTGCTGATTCAGTTCTCTGCTTCATCATGGCTGCCGGTGATTCTTTGTTGTGCATTCTTCATTTCAGTTATTGTATTCTTCACTTCTGACTGGTTCTTTTTTATGGTTTCCGTGTCTTTTTTTATACTTGCTATTTCTCTGTTGAAGTTCTCACTAAGTTCCTTGAGCATCCTTATAATCATTGTTTTGAACTCTGTCTCTGGGAGGTTGCTTGTCTCCACTTCATTTAGTTATTTTTCTAGAGTTTTCTCCTGTTCTTTCACTTGGCACGTATTTCTTTGTCTCCCCATTTTGGCTGCCTCTCTGTTTGTTTCTATGTATTAGGTAGATCTGCTGTGTCTCACAGTCTTGCTGGGTGGCCTTATGAAGTGGGTGTCCTGTGGGGCCCAGTGGCAAGTCTCCCTGGTCCCTTATGTGGGTTGTGGGTGCCCCCCTGTTGTATTTGAATCTTTATTGCTGTTGGCACATCAGTGGGTGGTATTGACCCTCAGGCTGACTGGCAGTGGGGTTTGGCCACGTCCACAGCTTACAGGCTGCTATGCTGGGGGTCTTACCCCACAGAGCAGGATTCGCCCCAGCTGGCTCTGGTGCCTGTTGAAACTGCCCTTCTGGTGAGCCACCTGTTGGGCTAATTGGTTGGTGCTCTGCTGTGGTCTAAAGCCATCTTCCAAGTATGTTGGTTCTGAGGCCTCTTGGGAGGGGCTCAGGTGCAGGCTCAGATCAGCCACTGCCTGTGATTGGGGACTACCTGGTAGGAGCTACAAAGCTATCCACAGTTTCTCACTGCCTGTGCTAGACCTGGAGGTGCGTGGGAGAGGCCACGCTGTGAACCAAGCACGGCTGCCAACAGCACCAGGTTTGGGGTGGCTCTGCAAAAACCCAGGACACTCTGAGGCCTGCAGCTACCTGCTAGCCAACATAAGGCTCAGTTGCTGATAAAGACTTGTGCAGTACGGAGTTGGGCGTGACACGATCTGAGTGAGTCACCAGAGTGGAGCAGAGGAGCTCACCAAGCCAATCAGATTCAGATTTGGCCTGTGGGGGCAGGCTCAACACAGGAAAGATGGCGCCCGCCTGCCCATTGCTCGGGAGGACGATACCACATGGAAAATGGGGATTATCTTCCAGCCCTTGCCTCAAGCCACACACCTGTTTACCCCCTGTATGTCTCTGACGCTCCCTGAGTCACCGTCCCGCTGCTAGAGCTCAGGGTGAGTGCCTGCGAGAGAATTGAGTTGGCACAGTCCCTTTAAGAGGACATCGGGGTTTCCTGCAGCCTTCTGTCCCACCTGGACAGTCAGAATCCCCACTGTTTTTCACAGCCCGATGTTGTGGGGGCTCCTTTTCTCAGCATCAGTATTCCGGGCTGTGAGGCCTGGTGTGGGGTTGGGGTCTCTTGCTCCTCAGGGGGGAACCTCTGTGGCTGAGAAAGCCCTCCCAGTTTTCATCCGCCACATGGAGGTTTGGGGCCGGCCTGTTTTGTGCTTCTTACCAGTCTCGACGTGGCTTCTTTATTTCCTTAGTTATAAAACTTCTGTTGAGCTAGACTTCAAATGGTTTTCCATGTCGATCGTTATTTAGTTGTAATTTTGATGTGTTCATGGGATGAGGCAAGGACAGCATTTACCTACTCCATCTTGGATATTTCTCAGGATTAAATATTCCTGAATAAAGCAATGATGCATTTGAATTTGGAACACTTCATGCCAGCATTTCCCTAGATGTTCTTTGGAACACTGTTCTTGTGATGTAGTTCTATTCCCTCTCCATTCTTACCTGTCCCTTTGAAAAAAAAAGGCTAGAAAGGCTTCATGTGAAATACCTGGATAAAATAGTAAGTAGAATGAGGACTTTAAAAGAATTGTTACACTTGGTGTTTAAAAGCTAGGTTTCAGGAGGAAATAACTTTTTGGATGGAAATTGAAAGGAAGAAGAGAAAAAGAGGAATGATGCAGAATATTCCAATCAAGTGAAATGGTTTTGTTTGCCCTAAGGTATGGGAGACCTGTCTTGGCTTAAGAGAGAAGAAAGGGAAACAGGAGAGGGGAAACCCAATATAATAGAGATAATGGCAATAAACAGAAAGCAAAGTCATAGAAGAGGCATGGATAACATTAGATGAAAGCACTATGGAAGAGAAGACTTGATACGGGCTGAGTAGTT